TTAGGTGTCAAGGCCTTTCCTTAGTATCCTTACTGTTCCTAGGATACAAGCTTGTTGAATCTTTCCAATTGGTTCATGCATCTCTAACTTCTTCATCCACTCTGGCATGTCACGATGGATGGTTCCTGGGGCTCCAATCACCACTGGTATGATGTCGACTTGTTTACATTTCCATATTCTCTTGATTTCGCTCTTTAGCTCTTGATATCTGTCGATTTTTTCTTTCATCTTGTTTTCCACCCTTGTGTCAAATGGACATGCTACATCAATAAGTTGACATGACTGCTGTTGTTTGTCATAAAACACGAGATCTGGCAGATGATGTTCAAGCTGGTGGTCTGTTTGTACCTTAAAGTCCCACATGCTCTTGTACCTTTCTGTTTGTATCACTCCCTCCGGTTGGTGATCGTACCACTTATCAGCTCTCTTTACACCAACTCTTCCAATGAATTATCTGCACAACCTTATCATGTCTCCAGTTCTTGTACTGTTTTTGAGCTAGTGCACTGCGTTCGGTGATGATATGACTGATGGTTTCGGCTCTGTCTCCGCACAATTGGCACTTTGGCACTTTGGTGAGATGTCAGCTTTATCGATGTACTTTTTGATGGCATTTGTTCTTGGGGCTTGATCTTGTACAGCCATTATGCGTCCTTCAGTTTCTTTCTTTATGATTCCTTTCTTCAACCAATCCCACGTAAGTCCGTGTCCTCCGTCTTCAGTATCTCTGATGAATTTCCCGTGGAGTTCCTTTGCTTTATAACTTTCATATTTCTCTTTCATGATGTTATCAGCATTCGGTCTTTGTTTATTCAGGACTTGTTCTTTCACTACAGCTTTCAACATTGTTTCAGTTGACTTCTCGAGATATTTACTCAAACTTTGGACTTCGATGGAAATACAGTCTATCTCCTATCAGTCCCTTTCCTCCTTTAGATTATTATTATTATTATTATTATTATTATTATTATTATTATTATTATTATTATTATTATTATTACTATTACTTGAAAATATATTATTATTATTAAAAATTATCATTATTATTATCATTATTATAATTTTTGTGGGGGAAAAAATAATATTCAGATGAAAACAAATATACAATTCAACACTTAGAATATAAGAACAATGGAATATCGTCTTTAGAAATGTAGACCTATTTTAAAATCTGCTTTTAAAATCTGAATGGAGACTGGCGTGCGCTGATTCTTAGATTATCTTTAATTTGAATTTGATATCTAATTCGGAATCAGGATAAACTGAATGCAGTGACTTTTTTTGATTTAGAAATTAGATGAATTAGACCGGCGATGCGAGTGTTTTGATAGTTGATAAGCAACTCGTGATTAGAGATTAATAATATTTAACAATAATTACTAGATTATTTTAGAAGTGCCGTATCAGAGCCTGACGTTGGCGACCATGTTTTTAATTTCATGGGTTATAATCACTGGATTAGAGTTGATTATTAACTCGTGATTAGAGATTTTGAGGAGGAATATTGCTATAATAATAATTACTCGATTATAATATTAATTACTGGGAAATGATCACTGGATTAGAGTTGATAATTAACTCGTGATTAGATTTTTTTTTTTTTTACATTTGTTTTACTTTTATTTGTTTATTTGTTTGTTTATTCCTTTACACTTGTTTATTTATTTGTTTACATTTGTTTATCTATTTGTACGATGTTTTTTATTTGTTTATTTTTCTTTTCTTTTCTGTCATTTCCATAAAATGCAATAATAGGTTGGTATTTGATCTACGTTTCTAAAGCGTAAGACAATTATCATTAGCTTATTGTTGTTATCTACCTTAATTTGTTAATGAAGAAAATAAAACACCAAATGGAATTCGTAAATTCGTTAAATTTTGTCAAATTTTCCTTTCTATAGCGAGACAATTATACTATATAAGAATGTGCAATTGCAGATTGAAGATTTACCTATATGTTATGTTATTTTGTTATATATATCTTTTTCTGATAATTTTTTTTGATAATCTTTTTACAAAAAAAAAAATGTGTATGTAGTTTATACGAGTCGCTGATTGGTTGGCGCTTGAGGCTTTACGACATCTGATTGGCTGGTAGTTTGAGTCGCGTTAAACTGTCCGCCAATCAGAGACGTTAGATCCTCCGATATCAGCCAATCAAATATCGCGTAGAAGGAGTAAAAGAAGCGAGGCAAAATGAAGGAACAGGAAAAGAGAAAAGAAAAGAAGAAAATATGAGAAAAAGAATGAACGAGAAGAAAAAAAAAAGATACAAAGAAAAGCAAGATAGTTTTTTTGATTTATCATTTGCATTTTTTAAAATAATTTCGACAATAATGATATAGTTATTAATAATACTGATCATGATGATGTTTAAAAAGTGATCATTACTAAAACATATTTATTAGCAACATGGAACTACAATTCATATATTTGCAAAGAGAGACAAACTATCTACTTTTTTACACATATATTATCATGTCTGTCTATGTGGATGCAT